CCCCAAAAAAAAAAAAAAAAAGTATTGGCAACTATGTTAAGCCCCTATGCCAACTCTCAGCCCTCTAGAAACTCCATGAAGCTGCCTAAACCCTAACCCCTAAAACCCTAAACCCTAAAACCCTAAACCTGCCCCGTGTTGCGGCAGTCCTCGGCTTCGTACGCCTCAGCCATGAGCCGGAACCCGGGGTTCTTGTGCCTGCGGAAACTCACCAATTGGGCTTTTAGGGCTTGGGGATACCGAGACCCCAAAGAACCTACCCTCTTTTTAGGGGCTGTTGTAAGGAAATCACGATAAGGAACCCTAGAAATGCAGCTTTCTTGGGGCTTGGGGGTAGGGTTTAGGGATGTCTCGGGTTCGCCAGCGCAGCGTGACGCGCAAGACAACTCCTTTGTTACAGGGTCCGCCCACTCGTAGAATCGGCTCACTTGGTTCCGAAGGTTCATTATCTTCTGATTCCGCTCAGAGTCCCGGCCAGACTTCTGCAGATTTGAAAGTTCTGGCCGGATTCCTGCAAATCGTGGAGTTTAGGGCCAGATTTCGCAGATGTGGCAGTTTCCTGCATGATTCTGGCAGCAATCGGCTTTGCTGTTTCCGGCCCATGGCAATATTCCTGCCACATTTGGCAATTTGCGGTAAGATTTTGGATTGGATTGCTTTGTGGATTTCCGGCCAGAGTTTGGCACAATTTGCGTTTTCCTGCCATTCGTACAGATTGCGCAGTTCCGGCGGAATTCTCGCAGATTTTGCGGTTTCCGGCAGAATTCCGGCGGATTCTGCCGGATTCCGGCAGGATTTCACAATCCTTTGCACCAAACTTTCTGGCGGTGCTGCACAAAAGGCTTGCGTGCTTCACGGCCATAATCCAAGCCGATGGTGGCCGACTAAGGGTTGAAGTAATTAAGTTGCTTTGAATTGCAGGTAACTTTCTGATGATGATAGAAAGCATAGAAACCGCAAGATCTTCCGCGGGCACACAAGGGTTAGGGGCTCATGCCAGGACTCGGAACTACCCAAAGAGGCACTTTCGGCGGCGGGAGTGTGTGGGGATCCAGCCGCATGACAAGGCAAGGAACGCTCTAAAGCAGCGTCAGCTTCGCGTACACCGTTGTTAGTTTGCGGGCCACAATCAAACGCTCACCTGAACTGCTGCAGCTGCTTTCACTCGCCGTGGCCTGAGGGTGTTGTCACAGAGCCAGGCCACACGAGTGGCAGCTTTCATGAAGTCAGGGTTGAAGGTGCCATTGATGGTGAACCCCGCCGAGAGGCATCCTCTGCTAGGCTCCCGGGCTGAGGTCGATAGTCTGCAGAGCACAGGCATAAAAACCCAAGGAGCCGTGTGGGTGGAAGCCGAAGAAGCTCTTGGTCGGCCGGATGTCGTCCAAAGCACCCCGGAGGGCCGTCTCAGCATAGAAGTCCTGGAACAGCCGACATCTGAGACACCGCATGTTGTGGCATTGCATACCACAACTACAACAATCACACTCCGCGCGCCTTCGCCCAGGTGCTGACATACTCGAAGAGCCAGGGCCTTCTAGCAATTTTTCCTGGGCCGCCCCGACGATTTTGACATCTACAGCAGGAGATAAGCTCTTGCTGCATGTAAGCGGCCTGATCGTGTGACTAGCCAAGTCAGGAACGAGGCAAAGATCGCAGCAGCCATGGCCTTTGTCGTTCTGCTTGTGGGAGAAACCCCCCAAACCCTCAACCCCCAACTCCTAAGCCCTAAACCCCTATAAACCCCAAAAAAACTATAAACCCCTATAAGCCCTTTAAACCCTTTAATCCCCAACCCCTCGACCCCTACACCCATCTTTCACAGCCCATCGCCTTCTGCTGTCCTAGCCCTTTAGGGTTTAGGGTTTAGGGGTTTAGGGTTTAGGCCGCGTCTTTCACAACCTTCTGCTGTCCTAGCCCCGCCACATTTTCAGCCGCGGCACGAGTCTGTCACCGGACCTATAGGCCATGCACAAGACGAAGATGCACAGAGCCTTGGTTTCAGGGTATTAGGGTTTTACCCATAGGCCCCCTAGGTAGTTCTTTTTTGGGGATTACCTTATAGGATTCTTAACATGAACCCCACAAAAAAGGAACTACTTGGGGGCCTATGGGTAGGGTTTATTAGGGCAAGTTTTCTTCTCTCTGGGTCCCAGGTCCTGGGTGAGCCTCCCAGCTGAAACAACAGGCAAATCCTGACCAAGAAGCGGGTCGCGCGGACTTCGGTCCAGCAAGGAGCACTGCCGCGACTCCTCAGCAACTCACGTGGCACCAGGACTTAGCCCTTCAGCGTATGTCGTTGCCGTTACTCTCTTGTCAAAGGTTAACCTTTGGGATTATACTGAGAGGTTAAAGGTTACCGACTTGCCAACTCTACTACTACCTTAAGGACGAAATGACCCTTAAAAGTAGGGGCCCTGTATCCTTACACTACTGAATCCCTATATGGCTATATGAACCCTAAACCCTTTTAGGCTTCATTTCGTCCTTAAACCTTAAACCCGAAACCCTATAGAACCCATAATAGCCCTCATAGGAACCCTTAAAGGAACCTTAAGGTAGGTCCACCAGCTTGGCCGAGTCGCCCAGGTTGGCAAGGAGGCCTGCAACTCCGAAGGGAGCGCCAGCGAGGAGCAGGGAACCAAGCAGCAGCCCTGCCGCAGCGCTAGAAACCCGAAACCCCCCTAAAACCTAGGGTTTAGGGTTTATGGTGTAGAGTTTAGGGTTTCGGGTGTAGGGTTTAGGGTGTAGGGTTTGGGGTTTAGGGTTTAGGGCCCTACAACTCTGACTACGAGGGTCTGCTTCGCCCGCGAAGAACACACTCTGGCCAGAGGAGTTGCTTCGGAAGCCTATGCCCTAAACCCTAAACCCTGAGGGGAGTCCGTTTCTCAGGGGGAGAGACTGAGGTTTCCAGCAAAATCTTGTCGGGTGAACAGAGGAACTCCTGTCAGCATTTCTGACTATCGGACTACCGCGGAAAGCTAGCTTCTCCCTGAAACTACAAAAACCTCCTGGGTTGCTCCTATATGTAGCCGCGGGACATGGCGAGACAGTCTGCAAGTACCTATCAGAGTTCCTGCAGGCCTGGGGGCAAGACCCAAGCAGGGACTATGATGAGATGGGCGAGGAGCCCCTTTGTCCATGACTTCACCTCGGGCGCAAGGTTTGCATGCACCTGTCCCTCACAAGTGGGAGCAGGTGTTCCAACCTATACGCTGCAGATGCTGCTGACCTCATGTAGACTAGTCTGCCAAGCTCATGTGCCTCCACACGAGTACTGCCTGCACTTTTCTGCGATCTCTCAGGAAACTTCGACGGGAGAACTTACAGAAATCTTCATCACAAGGGTCGGCGAGTGGGGGCGCTTATTGCTGGCACGGCCCTTCTCACTTGCCGGCAATGCGACTTTCCTACGGAAGCATTCAAAAGGCTCTGGCTCTAGCTGTTTGACTAACCCGACGAAAGTATCCTCGAAATGGCGTGCACTCAGCATTTTCTGAACGGCCTAGCGATGTCCAGCGTCACTGAAACCCCAAAACCCTGAACCCTAACATGTTAAGCAAAATTTTGTCTCAGCGAGCCAAAGACAGCGCAAGCAGCATAACTCCGGAGGTATCCTTCCCAGAAGCGGCTCCGAGACCAGGCCCCCAGCGAAACAAAGCATTAAACGACGGACTTTTTTCTGGGTTGGGGGTTCGGGTTTAGGGTTTCGGGATGAGGCCTTAGCGTTGCAGGTTTAGGGCTTAGGGCTTAGGGGTTTAGGGCTTTAGTGTGCGAGGGTTTGTGGTTTGAGAACTTCGGCTCGGGTGCGTCTGCTTGAATACCTATAGGCTCCATTGTAGTTCCTTTGGCTTGTAGTTAGGATCCAGAAAGGGTAGTCCCAAAAAGGAAATCCATCGGAGATAAGAGGCCTACGTGTGTTCACCGAAAGTGTCACTCGGGCCAGGTCGAGAGCCGCTGCCAGATCTGTCTGCGCATCTCTGGACAAGTCCCTGCTTGCAGAGACTTCCATTTAAAGTAAGAAGTCATAGGCAACCTATCAAGATATACGGAGGTCGAAAGCTTGGTAGTGCTCCCGACTTTAGGGAGTTCACGTGGGGAAGCCGCCCTCGGTTCACACCTTTACAGTATTTCCAGCTGCGCATCAGGGTAACCAGCCTCTGCCTGCAACTGCTGAGGCCACAAAACCCTAGGAGTTCGGATTAGGGGGACCCTTGGGGATTTTGACCCTCTCAATAGGGTCCCTTTTAAGAGAGCCAGAAGAGGGTTAAGAAGGGTCCCCGTTAAGGGGTCTCCCTCATACTACCTTGGAAAACCCTTGGCCACGAGTGTGCGTGCACGACTGTGCCAGTAGGTCTGCCTTGTTCTCGTCGAAGAGCTTCTGCAAGCCTTCCATGTACACCTCAGGAGATGCTAGCAGCTGCTAGCAGAAATGCTGGAAGTCGTCTGGGAGGCTCTGCATTTAGCCAGCAGGGCACAGTCTTTGGACTACAGCCCGATGTGTGTGTGTGTGTCAACCTACACCTGCAAGTCCTTCGACACAATCAGCCATGCCTTGTGCCAGTGGTCCACGTCCTCGTTGGAGGGTGATGGGATGTGCGGCAAGTCGATGCCCGGTCCCACCTTCCAGAAGCTCCAAGGCTCTAGATCTGGGCATACAAGCCTAAACTACTGAAGGTTCTGTGCAAGCAAGCAGCATAAGTGATGATCCTAGACTGCGGTCGTGGCAAGAAGGGCAGCAAGGGCCAGCCAAAGAACATCACGGCAGGCACGTTGTTCTCGCCCTTGGCAGGATGTGTGACATCTGATGTGCCAAGAACGCACAGAGGACGCAGCGTCAGCAGCTTCAAGCCACCTTTTCCTTTGCCATGCTCTTTGCACTCACCTTTTGGCAGTCTCTTGGAAAACCATGAGCAGAAGCAGACCTGGGTTGCAGGGCCAAGGAAGTGTTTCCTAGCATTCTCGAGGCGACTATGCACAAGCATGATCTGTTGAAGACTCCTCGCTGGAGTATGTCCCATCCATCCTTCCTCCCTCGAGCAGTGGAGCCACTGCAGCCACAGTATCTTGGAGCTCGCGAAGTCTCTGCCACTTGTCGGGATCAATACCACCCATGTCGAGCACTGCCATAGTGTCTGGGGGGAGGCCAGAGGAGAAGTCCACGGCCGGATACATCGAAGCATCAGCAGTGTAAGAGCCCAGGCCCAAGACTGCCAGGCCCACCTGACAGATGCAAGTTATGAAACCGGTGATAATGCTCACGAAAACTGAGTTTGGCATGACCCAGCTCTCACTTTCCAGGTCATCCCTCACCGCAAGCTGCAAGACTTTCTCCAACAGTCTCGACAGCACCATCTGCAACAGCACAAAATGCTCCATCGCGTTCACATTGGCCTGGTTTTTAATGGAATTCGTCATGAGGGGAAGCAGGCACTTGAAGCTCCACATGCCGAAAAGGGTGCTGACAGTTACGACAATTCCACATATTTTGTCAGTCGTGGCGAAGGCGCCGCGCGTGTAGGCATCAATCACCCCCACTACGGGCATGATCACCATGAATTGCTGCAGACCCCACACGAAGAAGCGAAGATGCGATAGCTGAACCTTCTGCTTACAGCAGAGGCAGCACAGCGGTGGCTTTCCGAAGACTGCAATCGGCTCTTCCGGCAACTGCGCCACGATCTGTTTCTGGCTGCCGTTCAGGATGAAGAGCAACTCGATGATCACGTTCATCGAAAGTGCCAGCTGACATGTGCGCAACAGAGCCAGAAGCTCCGCTGCTCCCGGCAGGAACATCTGAAGCGCGGCCGTCGCGGCGAACGTCAAGGGCATGAGCAGGAGTACCATCACTCGGCCAGCCTGCGCAGCATGACGAGATTCACAAAAAAAGCTTGACGAAGAGAGAAGCAAGGGCGAAACCATGCGAAAGGCAAAAGGAAGCTCGTGGCGCAGCTAAGCGTCTCGAGCACCATAGGAGGAGATGAGCTCATCGTCTCCGAAGCCTTGAGCTTTTGCAGCTGCCCTGTGCCGCCGAATGTTATATGCGGATATGCCAATGGCCAGGCAAGCGCAGATACTTCCAACAGACCAGAATCCCACCAAGCACTCAGGGGGATCTTCGAACATGTATAAGGCATTGGACTGCGTGAACCCATCCGTCTTGGTGGTGTTCGCTTGCGCCATGCTCCCAAGGCCCACCCGACACCATAAGGACCGAAGGAGCCAAACGGCTGCTGGCGTGGACCTGCATGCACCCAGAACATCCAGAACATGGTGATATTCCGGTATATTCCTGCTCCGTGGCTCAGGATCATGGCTTCCGACATGTTAGCAATGTGGGCATTAAGCTCTAAACCTCCAACTCTAAACCCATACAGTGAAGTGCGACTTATCCTAGCAGACTCAGCATTGACCCGCGGCCTCTGTCGCGATTGTTCTAATACAAACGGTGACTGTCGAGACTCTATCGCAGTCAACGAAATGACATTTTTCAATCGCTGACACAAACTGCAGCAGAGAATTACAGCTCGTTGTTGGTAAACGGCGTCTGCCAAAATTTTGCTGTTCCGGCTGACACTTTTGGCCAAGCACCGGTCAGCTTAAAGCAACCGGACAGCGTCCTTTTGGGTTGTCCTTCCTGATGTGCAGCTAGACGCACACATGCTCACTGCTATCCATGGCATCTGCTGATGAGCTTTCGCTTGCTTTCGGCTTCTCCGAGGGACCATGCTTGGGCAAGAGATGGCCAAGAAGTAGCGGCGCAGAGGGCACAGAGCTCGACGAGGGCTTGTCTGCCCTGAACTCTTGCAACCGAACCCACCTGTCAGGATCAATCCCATCCATATCAAGCAATGCCAAAGTATCTGGCGGGAGGTCAGTGGCAAAGTTCACCGGCGGATACAATCCTGCGCCGGCTTCGTAGGCACGGAGGCCCAGTGTTGCCAGCAAGAACTGAATAATGCACGTGAGGAAACCCGTGAGAACTTGCAGGAAGAGTGCGTTCGGCATCGTCCAGCCCTCTGCCTGCAAATCGTTCTTCACAAGCAAGGGCAGGAGCTTGTCCATCAGCTTCGAAGACATCATCTGCAGCAAGAGGAACTGCTCCATGGCATCCAGCTTGCTTTGGGAAGCAGCGCTTGTCCGGATGGAATCCGTCATGAGTGGAAGCAGGCACTTGAAGCTCCACATGCCGAAAAGGGTGCTGACAGTTACAATGATCCCACACGCCTTGTCAGTCGTGGCAAAAAGATTACTCTCGGCGTACGACTGGTTGAAGGAGTCAATCAAGCCCACCACGGGTAGGATTACCATGAATTGCTGCAAGCCAAACACGAAGAAGCGAAGATGCCACAGCTGAACCTTCTGAGCACAGCAGCCCCAGCCGAAAATGCAGCACAGCGGTGGCTTTCCGAAGACTGCAATCGGCTCTTCCGGTAAATGCGTAACGATCTGTTTCTGGCTGCCGTTCAGGATGAAGAGCAACTCGATGATCACGTTCATCGACAGCGCCAGCTGACATGTGCGCAACAGAGCCAGCAGCTCGGCTGCTCCCGGCAGGAACATCTGAAGTGCGGCCGTCACGGCGAACGTCAAGGGCATGAGCAGGAGCTTCATTATGCGACTGGCCTCACAAGCGCTGAATAAAAGAATGGCAAGGAAGCTTCTCAATTCCCGAAGCCTCCAAAAACAAAAACACTGAAGTGAAGCACGGTAACGCGTGCGCCAAAAGAAGAGATAAGCTCGTCTTGTCCGAAGCCCTGCAAGTGAGCACAAGCAGCGTGCTGCTTGATGTTGTACATCGAAACACCAACAGCCAGCACTGCACAGATAGACCCCACTATCCAGAAGATGCGCAAAAGCACAGGTGGATTGTCGTAGATGTAAACTGCGGTTTCATCAGCCTTTTCATGATCCTGACTGTTGCCGGCAGCGCTGGCTGCGCCGCATAAAGCCGCCAACAAGACAGGGCGCAGGTTCATGGCTCTGCCAGGCTCTGCTGCTCTCTGACCTCTCTGCTGCACACTCGCTGCTTGAGACAGTGCCTGCGGTTGAGAAGCAAATCAACATGGCCTTGTGGTGGTTGTAGCACTTGGCACTGGGTATGTTAACACTGATACTGCTGTGGAAAAAGGCTGCAACGACAAGTAAGTCCCGCACGATCTTCATGCGCAGAGACTTCATGCCACTGAAGGTATGATACCTGCACGAGCGGCATTCGCCGTACTGTGTGCCGGCATCCTGCAGCCAAGCAACGTCTCGCATTCTCCGAAAGTGTAGCAGGGATGAGCGCGGTATCCGAACCTCGTAGCTCTCGCACTCTCTTCTCTGTGCATCTCTCGCCACCTTGAGTTGTACTCTCTTCTCTCTCACAAACGCTCAACTGATTGCAGAGAGAGAAACTGCAGGCAGTACTTGATGAAGCCCTTCTTGTTGCGAAGGACACAAACGTCCTCTGAAATGCTCTCAAGTGCAGACATAGCAGTGGCACTTCTTTGCATTCTCCTCACCTTTCCGAACTCGAAGGCGACTGCATCCAGAAAGCCACCAGGAATAAATGCGACCTGGGGCAAGCCCAAGTCTTAGCAGCCACAAGAAGTCACCTAGCTATCAGACTCTGGAGCTCTCCGAACTATTGGAGGGAAGGGTTTAGGGCTTCGGGTTCGGCTTTCAGGGATTATCAGGTTTAGGGTTTCAGGGTTTAGGGTTTAGGGTTTCAGGGTCCCCCCTGGATCTCTGGACCAAGCGGCATTAACTCCTTTGGACATTTGGAGCTTGAAGCCTGGCGACGAGATCCCCGCGACACTGGGGAGATCAGTGGCTCCGGCTTGCATCGGCTCACGGAAACACGGTGACTTGTAGTGGGTGTAGGGTTGAAGATCTGATTGCTAGCGCTATTGTTATGAACATGGTGAGTACAACCAGCAGCGGCAGCAGCAGCAGCAGTAGCAGCAGTAGCAGCAGCAGCAGCGGCAGCAGCAGCGGCAGCAGCAGCAGCAGCAGCAGTAGTTGGTAGGTAGTAGCTAGTAGCTAGTAGCTTGTCGCAAGTAGCCAGTACTAGTAGCTAGCAGTAGTAGCAGAAGAAATAGTCGTAGTCGTCGTCGTCATCGTCGTCGTCGTAGTCGTAGGAGTAGTAGTAGTAGTAGTAGTAGTAGTAGTAGCAGCAGCAGTAGTAGTAGTAGTAGTAGCAGTAGCAGCAGTAGCAGTAGGAGTAGGAGTAGGAGTAGTAGTAGTAGTAGTAGTAGGAGTAGTAGTAGTAGTAGTAGTAGCAGTAGTACTAGCAGTAGTACTAGCAGTACTAGTAGTACTA